TTTATAATCCACATTAAGGACTGAGATTGGTCTGAACGACCAATATCACAATCTTAGATCCTATGTCTATCTCTCTTGTGTATAAAAAAAATAATCAATCCTTGAATATACCAAATGAGGGAAGGAATAGTGAGTGTAATCCCGCCCACTTGGATAGAAATCTCTCCAAAGATCTGTTATTCCCATTTCCCCCATCAGTACATTAATCTTTTTATACAGTGACTTATCTCTCTGAGAAGATATATTTATAGAATCAAGCCTGGGGTAAAGACACACATTCCAATCACCTCCACAAATTAGTATCCCTTGTGCATTAACCATCAAATCAATAAAAATTAAAATCACTACCAGGTGGAGCATATACATTAAGTAATGTTAGTAATTCCCCTTCAATTTTTCCCAATACTAATACATATCTCCCCTCCTTATCTTTAACTTCTGTAAGCAACTCAAATTGAACATTTTGAGATATCAGTATAGCCACTCCTGTCCTATGGCCAGATTTATATGAGGAGAAATTGATTTTTGAGAAACCCATTCTCCTTAATTTCTCATGTTCTAATATACTCAAATGTGTTTCTTGTAAAAAAGCAATATGAGCCCCTTCTTTCTTCATTTTAGACAAAATCTTACTTCTCTTAATAGGGTTAAGTACTCCATTTACATTAAATGTAACTATTTTAAGGTCTTGCTTGGACATATTTTATGTAAATTGTCAAACTTTCAAAATCTCTCCCATACAACTTATGTTTCATATTGTTAAACATCCTCTTCCTATCATTTTTTTCTAATAATGGACCACAATCAAAAAACTCAATTAACAGAAACATTAACCAAACAATCTTAAACAAAACTGTATCCATCGCCGTCTCTTTCACAGTACTTTCTTCCAACTGTGGGGTTCTTTTCAAACGAACCCTATGTGGGCTTCTCTCCTTTTTTTCTTAAACAATAAAAAAAGGGGAAAGTCCGTTAGGGAAATCCTCCTTCTCCTCTGGAGGAGGGCCCTTAAGCAGGCGGCACGGTGGCAAATCCAAACTTATATTATAAAGGGAAAAAAAAAGGAGTCTAACCAGAAAAATAAAAAGTCACTCTGGTCGTAATCACCAAGCATCTGTCCCGACATTTACAAATTCTCTTAAAACATCGCAGGAAACTTATTTTTTAAAAAAACCCTTAACTATTAAATCATGACCAACTTTTGACAATTCACTGTATCAAATTTCTTCAATCTTGCGAGGGGGGTCTTCTCCTGAAACTCTGTAATTTCTCCTGATATTGCTGTTTCGAGGACTGGTCTTTCCCAGGACCACCCCGTCTTCCAGCCTTCTGCCAGGTAAACGGTCGCTCGATTTCTTCTTCCAGTGTAGGCGCTGGCTGTATAACTTGTACTTTAAGACTCCGCTCTGCCATGTCCTTTGTGGCTTCTGCTGCCGAATGGTATAGGGAGGTGCCGTCTTCGGAAAACACCCGCAACCTCGCTGGAAATGGAGTCTGAAATTGTATTTTTTACTTCAGAATATTCCATACGTTTTTTTAGTACTGTCGGGGGGTAATCATGATCCACATAAAATCGTTTTTTATTGTGGAAGAGTTCTTTCTTTTGCCAAGCTTTACGCAACACTTCCTCTTTCATCTTGTAGCTTAAAAACTTGTCGACAATGGAGCGAGGTTTGGTGTCCGGGCCTCTAGATCTCGGCGCTAACGCTCTATGCGCCCTTTCAATTCCCAGTTCCAAGTCCTTTGGTAAATCAAGTTCCCCCCTTAGCAGATTTTCAAGGAAGGTGACCATGCAGCGACCCTCCAATTCTTCGGGGATTCCGTAAATCCGAATGTTTTCTCTGCGCAATCTTCCTTCCTGGTCTGTTAATTTAGTTTCTAAAGTAATTTGTCATTGCATGAGTTTCTTTATCGCATTTTCTGTTGTTAAGACCCTTGTTTCCACGTCTTCGATCCGTCCCTCTGCTTTATCCAGTCTCTTATTAACCTTGCTCAGCTCCTGTTAAATATCCATAAGCTGCTCTTTATTATCCCATCTGAAGTCTCTAAGTTTGTATAATATTTTCTGAAGACTGGCGTCTGCAACATCTTGTTCAGAGTCTGTTGAGCTACTTAGACTATCGTCCGAAGTTGCAATTTCGACATTTTCCACTGTCGTTAGTTTTCTCCTGCTTCTCCTGACAGCCCCTTCAGCCATACTTATTATTTTTTCAAATGTAATGAAGAAAAAAAACACTTTTTCAGGGCTTTATTACAAAGTTGCCGGGCGATCCGTATTATGCTGCCTTTCCTGTCCGCATTCTAACGGGAACTCTTGCCTCACCATGTTTCTGTGCTTCACTATACTCTTCATTGTATGATAAAACAATGATACACCATACTATCACTGTAAATAGTAACAACAATCTTATTTTTTGTCAAGATGTTTTAACTTTTTATCAAATTGTAGTAGAACATGTTTTAAATGTTAATATATATTTTAGCAGCTACACCTTTGTATAAAAAATCTTTATTAACTGATTTTTAACTCTGTGCCCTTAATTAAGCAGTTAACATTAGAGTGGATACCTTAAGATTCACTGTACATAGCCAATGAAAAAATGAAGTCTAAAGAAATATGCCCAGCTAAAGCAGTTGCATAATATATGACCCTTTTTTTTTCCTTTGGAATCCTAGCAATATGCATATTTAGCTTAACTGTAGATGTTTTCAAAATTGCTAAATGATTTAAATTGGTGTTTCCAATAGTCTGTACATATTTCTCTTTTGTGGTACATTAAATATAGTTTGCTGATGTATTAGAGCAATTAAGAAGTCAAAACCTAATCCCTCAAATTCAGAAGCATCCTATCATGGGATTCCATTTTAACCCCCAAAGGAAATATTCTGCTTTTAACCTAAAAGCCTTCCATGATTTGCTTATTCCATGTCTTTTGATCCTTTTTGCAAAAACCATTGCCATTTCCCTTATTTGTTACAGATAAAATAAGAAAATGTACCATGTAATTAAATAGAATGACTAATGTGTTCCCTAACAGTTCACTTCAGTAATGAGTCTCTAAGTTTGAGAGCACTTAATCATGGCGATGTCATAAAAGGCCATATAATTTGCTGCATAAAATTGTTCATCTCTAAATACTGTTTTGTATTTGTTCCCCCCAGTGCTTAGTGATTAAGTACTACACCCTTTAAACCTATTCTTTGTCATTGTCATATCCATGTTCAGACATATCTCATTCTCACTGTAAATTGAAAACATGGCATGTTTTGGACCATGTTTTAGAACCACTATATGTCTCTGGATAAGCATATGCATGTATGCTTAAATCTATTATGTTAACTTTTTAAAGGCAATTGCAGATATACCCAGAGATCAAATATTGTGTATTCTCTATGGAGTCTGAGACCAATACAGGAAGTAGTTCCCATTATTTAAACTATGTATATCTCTGTGAGCTGTTTTGATAAAAGTAATAACCAAACTCTAATTGGCTGCTCTGCCTAAAGTGAGGATATTTCAAATGGTGCTTAGAAGCAATTAACTCAGCAGTTGTGTTGCCAATTTTAATTAGATAATGTACCATGCAATGACCCTTCTTGAGCACATAACTGACTTGAACTACACATAATAGACACAATTCTTTTACATTGATAATATCTTGAACCCAAACACTCTTTACTAAATCTGTTCGGTATCTGCTATTTTCTTCCATTCTCAGAAGGCTTGAGTCTTCAGTAGCACAGAAGGAGGTGTTAGTACTCTTCTGTACAGCTCCTGTGTAAAGAGCAATCATTCCTCAAAGACTGAAAGAAATCTAACATGAGACACAAGGAAAAAAAATGTTTTTTGTAACATTCTTTTGTATTGAGGCAAGAAGTAGTTGTGTTATTCTTTAATGGTTATAATTCAGGAAAGTGAATGTATGGAACTTCTGTTCTCCATTTTAATGATCTTTTCTTCTTATAGTGATCAAACCTTGCTTTTAACTGTACCATTTCCCTTTGCAGCAGCAGCTTCAAGCTGTCTACAGCAGCCCTCTGCCAGACTCCTTGATGCACCCACTTGTCCCAGCTGCCCAGCCTACAGATAAATATTCTAAGATCTGTGCTACTTTGCCTGGATTACAGACCCCTTCTCTTGGCCTCAGTATTATTAGAAATGGCCCCCAGGCAGGCATTTCCTTTGTACTCTTTCAGCTGTATGCTATACACATTCAGTCAGCAACTTAAAAATAGTTTAAAAAAAATTTTTAAAAATAAATGTACATTCAAGTATGTCAGTGCATTGATTTGCAATATCAGAAAACAGAAAAAAAGTCCTTTGGGTAGACTGTGTTTACTAGTTGTCCCTATAGTGATTACCCCCACTGGTGATTAATTGTTAAAATTCCTTAAGAATATGTACTATTGTTCTATTGCATGTTTTTTTGCTATCAAATTAAGCTATATTTTTATGGACTTTTTATGTCTGTACTGCATTGTATTCACAGGTACATTTCAGTCCTCTTCCAGCTCCTGGCCCCACTGCAGCAATATCTGGTCCTGCAACTTCCACGCCTATAATACCTCAAGTGTCCAGCAAGTAAGTAAAGAACCTGTGAAGGAGCTGCAATAATACTTAAATTAATGATACTATATTAATGTTCTCATTAATACAGAATCAATAACCCTGTAATTAAATATTGCTTGTTTATTAACTGAAGTCAGTTAATTATCATTCATAAATGTTGTCTTATGACTACTTCAGCTTTAACAACTGCTGTTTGTTGTGCAAGTTTTTCACCCCTTAACATAACATACTGTAGTGTTAAATATACATTTACTTTATTGTTGTTGCATGAAAATTTAGTAAAAAGAACTCTGTCCATTCTCTACTTAGCTTGGTTATTTAGTAGTTGCTTAGTTATTTCTGCGATTCTTAACATGTGAAATATGTATGATGAACAGACACTATAATTATATTCTATTATTGAGGTACTGTATGTGAAAATACTACTGTATCAAATGCTCCCAGTTATTTTCATACAACAATCCTGAATGAGGCTATATGCAAAACACAAAAAACAGTTCAGGGTTGTTACTGATTACTAATCCAAACCATTTTATTACTGGCTGAAAAAAAAACTCTAATCAACTTGTGATTAGCCTATGTTGATTCAACTTGGGGAAAAAAACATGAAAAGACAACAGCGGTACCAGGGTATAATTTCCAAATAAGATTTTTCTTATTCCTCCTCCAAAACTCTGTACTCCCTTGACAGTTAGAATCACAATATTGATTTCTGGTTGCTGTGACCATTTCAGAGGAAGGGACACAGTCACAAAAGTCTCTGCGTAGTCTACAATGTTGTTGGATGGAATGGTTGTCTGTCATCATTTCTGAACTGGTGAATTGAAATGGAAGGCCAAGAGGCATTTTCTGGATAGCTTTGTCATGGCTATTTGCATTCAGTAAAGTAAATGGGAGAAAATTAGTAACAGTGACTTGACTTATGGAGGAGGGAGAATGATGTTCTAATATGGGTTCCATACAGAAAAGCTGCCTTATAGCATTCTAAAACAGTGCCTTAGAGAAATTAATATTTTAATATGGCTTTAAATGCAAAACGTTCATAAAATAAACTTATGTTTATATTGCCATAGGTATTTTTCTAAACCTGTTAAATATTGTTATTACAGTGATGCCCCAGGATTAGATGTGAAGTATTTACAAAAGAGTGCTCCGGTTAAAGCACTGAAGTCCTTAATAACTGGTAATGTTATTTTTTACTTATTATCAATGTGTACATGTATAGAGAATCAAAAGGATCTTCTGTTTTTGTGCATGTAGTTTTTTTACATTGATGCATACTGGGTATTGGTTAAATGTTTTGGTTTAATTTTAGTTTGAAGTAAAAACAAATTAACTTGAATGATACATTCAAATGACTTCAAAAGATTTATTATCCTTAAATTACCCCATTAATGTGAAGCTTGATTGGGTACAGATAATGAGGTTATATAACCTTTTGAATGTCAAGATGGTTAAAAATGTAGGAATATAAACCAGTATGTCCAGTATCAAGAGTATAACACTTTCATGCCATCAGTATGTTGCAAGCTGTACTAAGTGTTTATGGGGTTCACAGCAATTTCTAATGTGGCAAGATGTGATAAACAATCTATCAGTAATAGGCCATCATTTGAGAAACCACGAGGTAAAAATCCTATCTAAAATTAATACATTATCCACATGTAATAATCTGGACAGGGTTGCCTGGTTGCTGCAGAACTCCATTGTAGTGATTGTTGAAAAAAAACTGAATGGTACAATATTGATCAAGTCCTGAGATCCCACATGCTGCCCCTCCAGCAGGTTGAGCTTGACATGACAACATTCCTGCAGAAAAACTAGTAATAATGATTTTCTTCTGAGGTGTGAATGTGAATGTTATGCTTAGGATTCTCTTCTCTCCAGCCAATCTCACTGAACATTTGTTGGATGAGCTGAGATGATGTGGTGCATCTAGACCCAGGAGATCAGTGAACAGGCACATGCTTGTCCAGCCTCAACAAGAGGACTAAGGCAGAATCTGCAATCTGCAAAGCATTTGTCGCAGAAGTACAGCATCCAGAGGTGGTCTCCTTTGCTATAAGCCTGTAAATTCTAAGGTTGACTTCCAGTTAATGACAAGTAATCCACATATTTCACGGGGGAACCCAGGTGGCCGACTGGGTTGGCTGACTCGGCAGCCTCCGCGGCATGAAAACATGAACACCCCTGATTACCGGAGATTCAGTAGAGAATCAATGACTGGGAGCTAGGCCCTCAGGGATAGGGAAGGAATGAGAAGACTCCCCTGACTCGCTGAGATTCACTTTGAGAGGCGCCGACCCACGAACAGGCTATGCCCTCAGGGAATAGAAAGGGAAGAGGGAGACTCCCCTGACTCCTTGAGGAGTAAATTCAAAAACTCTAGATGTGTGTATTAGCAGGGTTAGTGTTTAAATAGGAAAGAGATAATTGAATGAAAGAGGAAGGGGCGGAGCACCCCCGCTGCTCGCCTAGAACTCCACCTATCAGTTTCCATTTAATTTACTTACTGTATGTATTCTATTTTCGATAAAATGTAAGTGCACCTGCTTCTAAAAAATATATTCCTGATAAATTTATGACATTGTTGAAGTTATAAGTATCAATAAGATACTATAAGATAAGTATCTTTTGATTAAGTTGATTTTTCTTTTTTCTTGGTTTTAAGCATATTTAAGGTTACAGGTCAGTTTGACCTGCTCTAAATATTTTATTTCTCAACTGGAAACTAGAAAGCTGGATTTTGCTCAAGTTTTATATAGATTGTGGCTGCACTGTGAAGTAGTAGTTACTGTATGTTGGAAGGTAACTGGAAGGTTGTGAGTTTACATCCTGGGTGGGATACTGCTTCAGCAATGTGCTTGCTTCAGTGAGATGGCAGCTATAAATGGGCACAAATGTTGTTTTGGATACACACATCAGTATAATTAGAGTTCATATATCTTTTCATGAAATATTTGAGGAAATAAGTATGAGATTTGTGTTCTAATTTTATTCAAGATAATTATCATTGAGCTGAAAGATAAAATACCCTCTTCCTGGTTCAGTTCTTAATGGCTCAGTTTATTTTCCTGGCTAGGACCTGTTCTTTCCCCAATGTCTTGTCAATCAAAGGGAAAAGGGCAAGTTCAAGGCAAATTCATGGCTGTCAGATGACATCCTTTTTGAGAGAAATTCTTTAAAGCATCGTGTTAATCTGATCTAACAAAGGAGTGATTTGTATGAGCCTCATGTCTCTTTTTAATAATTTGTGTTACTGCCATTGTTCACTTTTTTCAGAGTAAATAGTTAATATAATGCTTGAATTTATTAATCTTATGGTTTAAGAAATCAAACTTATATAGTACAATGAAAAAGTGGGAGCTTCTGGACTGTTCCTTTTTTGCAACAAATACAATGTGTTGCTTACATACTGTAACTACTGTGACTTTTGTTCTAACCATGAAGAGAGAAAACTTCAAGGTTAGAATACTGGAGACCTCTGCTGTTCACTCTGAAGATTGTAGTTTGCAACATGTGACTTGGTTTAATTTCGACATTAATCCAGCCATAATAAATCTATTTTAGTAATCTTTATTACTAAAATAGAAATTCAGAATTTTCCTTAGTAGTTCAGTCTCAAAATGCTGATATTTCATGATTTTATTTATTCATTATATACAAAATCACTTTGAGGTATATTCCGTAGGGAAACGAATGCTTGTTTGTCAGGAGCTCTGGATGTCAGGTTAAGTTTTACTTCATGTTGAATATAAATGTTTATTTTAAGTAACTTTATAGTCCTGAGGACAGAAAGAATAAGTGCTAACTTTTAATGTACACAGAGTATAGGTAGTTTGATTACATAACCCACAATGTTTTTAGAAATGGTTTTTGAAATTTTTGTTTAGTGAAAGGGGGACAAGTGGTATTTTAGAGACTCAAGTTGATAAATGTCTTTTTTTTTCAGGACCAAATAAACCTTTAGTGACAAATCGAGGAAAACCACAGGCCATATCATCGTATTTTCCTGGACAGCGTTCTACACTTCCTGCATCATGAATATGGATCTGATAAAAAATGAATGAACTGTTACAAGAAGATGAAACCAATAAGGGAAAAAGTGGAAATGAAATTAAGAACATGTAAAAAGTAATACTTAGTGAGTGCAGCAACATTGCTTCATATAAGGGACATCTTAATAGCTGTGGACCATTCAAACTGCCAGAATGCAGCCTGCTATTTAGCCAGAACATTTCATCACCAACATTGGAGACCGTTAAATTCAGAATTGATACTGAATTAATGTAATTATTGAGAATTGAAAGGTTTATAATGAATTAAAAATCATTTGCGGTGAGACTACAATTGAAGTGTTTGGGTTTAAAGAAACAGTATAAGAAAAAAAACATTTCTAAAAATGTTACTTGAGAGAGCCTTTTGAAATTGGTTTTGGAGTAAAATGTTAGCCATACTCTCAGATAAGCAATTCAGATTTTTTCTTTTTTTAGTAGCATATGAATTAGAAACAATTTAGAAAGAATTATATAATTAAATTTCATTGGGCAGATTTTGTGAATGAAGACATTATCCTTACCTTACATCCTTTAATTTTACCTACTTAAATGAAGAATATACATAGAAGTAATATTTATTTTGTTATTAAGTTCACATTTTCACCTAATTTCATCCAATCTCTCTAAAATAAACTCTTTTAGCAGGACAGTTATGGATATGATTTTGCCATTCGAAGTCCAGATTACCTGTGGTTTATATAGCTGCAATGTATTGGCAGAAATTAAATATAATCATACAGTATATATACATTTTTTTGCCTGAAGATATTATGCGCATGGCCTCAGTGCTGCTTTAATAATTATCAGATGTATTTCATCTGACTGCAGTTTGCAGCATTTTATGCCAGAAAATCAATCCTGTTAAGATTTTAAACCATGACTTTTCAAATGTTGGGTCTCAGATGCTTAGGGGGAGTTGTTGATTATTTTTTCCCTTATTATAAATGTGACTCCATTATATAAAATTATCTTGAAAATGAGTCCTAAAGAAATATGTTTGTGATTTCATTATTTACACTGTCATTTGATTTTAAACATATTAAATGTCTTCAATCTAAACTTTTCAACCTTACTCATTGGATGGTGTTAGGCTGATGCAAAGGAAAAACGCTAAATTATAGTTTATAGCTATAGTTGCTCATGCTCCAGGTATCTTGATGTTAACTTTTCTGTTCACATTTGTGAAGCTGAGTTACAAAACTTTGTTTTTGTGCTTGTCCTGTTGTAACTTTTTTTCTAATGGCAAATCTTTAAATGTGTTGCAGTTCCCAAGGCATAAATTAATGATTTGTAGCAAAATGTATTATATATTTATAAAATAGTGTATGATATCATACTATATGTTCATACAGATGTATTTAAATAAATTATTCACATGTATTTGTTATTTTGTAAATAAAGTATACTCTTGTAATAATACCTGCAGGTACATGTATTGTTTTGTGCATGTGAGTTTATAGCATAAAAGGGTAACTGGTGTAGGCATCCTCTCACGAGGCACCAATAAATGTAGTGGTTTGTGCATTGACTGGGACAATTATTAATTGTAGCAATAAGTCACAAAATGATTCTTTGATGGCTATTAGAATCAACCTTGCGGGATAACTCAACACACACACACGGATACTATTACATGAGAATACATTTATTAATGCAGTGTGCATATAAACATAACAGATCTTATAGTGAGGGTTAGCAGAATAAAAAAGGTATATATTCAATCACGGAGAGTTACAAACCAAGAGGGACATACATTCAGTATACCATTCATTTAGACTGTTTCATAAATGAACTTGTATTACAACTTCTACACTAGATACTCAAAAGCAAGAACATCACTCATAGGAATTAAATTAATATCAACTCAGGTTGAGGTAACAATTGAATTCTCGAGCTGTCATGCAGAATGTTGAATACTCATCCAATCTGTGTGGATTTAGATCTCCCGCAGACATAAACAGCGACAGGCTTGCTGTGTCTAATTGACGTTCTCTGGCTCAATGCCAGGCAGTGCTCAGTGCGGCTGGCGGTGTGAGAGATGCACTGCTGATGCTCTCTAACGGCTGGCTAATTAGTTCTGGCTTACTAGCAGAGTTTGTGCACAGGAGAAAAGTGACTGTGGATCCAAGCAGGTCACACTCTTTAGGCAGGAAGAAGACCGGTTCATTCCTGATGTGGCGCTAGTTCTGAATACTGATTTCAGCTGTCCACAGTTACGACTGTTGTTCACTTGTTGATCAGGTGAGCTTTCGCGGTGGGTTCACGAGGCTTGCTGCCGGGCTAACCTCAGGTGGATCCTTTGGTTACGCGCTGGCAACCTCCGTCCTCGACTCTTGGAACAAAGGAAAGTTCTGGCCCTCGGACACACTGGCCGTTACATGCTTGTCCGAGCTGAGTTTGAGGATGTCCAGAAGGCGCCCAGAGGAGCCCTGTGTTGCCTGTTTTACCTGGAGGAGCTACGGTCGTTCGTTGGTTGAAAGTTTCATGGGCATCCGTGACCCATGTGGGGTTAACCTGTCCTACCAGTTCCTGATTGGCTGAGGATGAGTAACAATGCACCCCCCCTTAGGGTTGTAAACAGCTTGGGATAAGACTCTCCCTTGCAATTTCCAAGACAGTAAGGCTCCAGAGATGACCATTTATTAGGGTTGCTGGAGAATCTCAGCATTGGGAGTTGTTCCTTATCAGGACACTCTATCAGCTAGAAAAACACCTTAAATGTGAACCCAATGGAATGGCTTCTCTGTATCCAGCACCACTGAGATGAGGGAGAGAGAGACTGGCAAGGGAGCAGCAAACTTAATTCCTATATTTTATTAAGCCGTGCCGCTACACTGGAGAGAAGAAACATTTGCTGAATTGCTCACAAACATTTTAAAATGAAATGCAAAAAATATATATTTTTTAAATGTTGGCTTTCCTAGAAAAACAAATCATAATAAAATTGTTTTTCTTTTCAAAGTTAATTTGAACTTAAATCATGGTTTGTGTTTGAGTAGCCAGGAATGAGTTAATGTCTAACTGCTTATTTCAGATTTACAGTGTGAAAGAAATATTGATTTTCATATTCTTTACAGGTGCCTTTAATGTTTGGTAAGATCTTAAATTTTCTTTTTTTTTTGAATAAGTATTGTAACAGTTACTAAGTTGCTTATGTAATCAAGAGCAAAATTTAAACACTACGTAAACACATTATCAGATCTAATTTTTTAAATAACATTACTTTATTCAATTGCTTTTTTGGAACTTGTGAAAACCTAAGATAACTAAAATTGTTTTTCAGAAATACATTATGCACACTGCAAGCAACATTTTTTCTTATTTTACACAAGTATTTTCACAACAAAAAAGAGTGTTTATAACTGTTATAAACATAAATAAGAAAAAATAATGTATGTATTTAAATAATCGAAAACTAATTAAAGTACATAGATTGAGCTCCATTACAGTTCCACTGTGCAGCCTGATAAACTACTTTTTTGAGAATAATAGGAACTACAGAACTGCATTTCATTTATATATAATAGATAAAAAAATTAAAGTAATCTAATCCTTAGCTAGTTTTATATAAACAAAATATTCTAAAAAATTCCATTTTAATAACCTTACACAGAAATAAACTATTGGGATACATATTATTAGATATAAATTAAGAGCTATGGATTTCATTTTTTAAAAACATTTTTTTAGATTATAAGGTTCAAAAGAACATTTTTCAGTCTGAATTATATGCTTAATTAATCTTTTCAAACTGAGGAAGAAGTCCTTTTTTAGTCTAAAGTGTGTTGATGCTAGCTTCTGGCCACACCTGAACCATGATGTAAAAGCAAAGGATTTTCCCAAAAACAGAGGTAAGTAAATATGATTATAAAATTATGTGTTGTGTCTCAAACGATAAGAGGGATTATTGAAAACTAGATTCTTCTTGTGATGCCACGATAAGGACACAGGTTCTAGGTGAGCCTCCGAACACAGACACACCCCAAACACAAAATTTAAGGTGAAATGGTGCTTTATTAGCTGGTAAATGTTGAACCTTCCAGTGTGGCTATCTTTATGAAAAGTATATTTTCCCTTATACTGTCATATTCTTCAAAGAAGCTGTTATGCACATTAGTAACTCTTTAAGTGCACAGAGGTCAGCTATTTCTGCTTCTAGTTGTGATAATGGATGTGGCTAGCTGAAACAAGTAGAAGAATTGTCAAAACTGCAAATCTCATTTGTAACAGATAGGGTAAGGTAAAATTTCTAGTATTTTTACCTTCCCAAATAAAGTATTTAAAGAAAGTCTGCTTAAAATTATCATTTTTGTAGTTTCCACATTATCATAAGAAGATAAATCTGTTTGTTGCAATTAATTGCTGATGCTATATAGAAGGAGAGCAAATCTGGGATTTGCTGATATCAGTAATGGGTCATCTGCATATACCATTATTTTAGATTTACCATTAGGACCAACTCCTTGAATTTCAGAACAAGTTCTAATCTTTTCAGTTTAAGGTTTCAGACTGAGAATATAATGAAGAAGGGACAGAGGATGTCTTTGTCTTGTACCACTATGGAAACTTGCTAAGAAACTGAGATAAGCTCCAATTCAGTAAGCCTGTAGGCTTATCATGAATAATTTAAATCCTAAACAATAAGAGAATATGACGCTTTGCTATACAAGTAATCTCTATGCTGAATAGACACGATGGAGGGGACAATTCAGGGGACTATCAAAAGAGTTGTTTTCCCATGTAGGTTAAGGAGTAATGTTTTATTAAGTATTAAAATCTTAAAATATAATTTGCGTTATGGATAAGAAAGAGATTCATACTGTAGTATAAATGGGTGAATGCCAACAGAAAACAAATTAATTCTTAAAATACTTTGAAAACTCCTGTTTGGAAATTGGACCTTACACACAACACTGAATTTCATAATTATTGTAACGACCGCTGGGTTTTGGTACGGAAAGAATCAGGCATACAGCTTTGACATGGGTTGGCATTTATTAACGCCGCTGAAGAGGGTTACACATACAGGGACACAGGGAATACAGCACAACAGAACACCTACACTATACACAGACAGGAAAGGGAAGAGGGCGTCTCACAGTCACTGTCCCGTTATATACAGTCTAGTAGTCCCAGCCCTCAGGTACAATTACCAACCCGCCCTGCCTACGCATGACAACATTAGACAATACAGCTACAAAAGTGTCCCACGTGGGTGCTACATTATAAACTAATAGTCACAGTACTTAATCTTAAAATTAACCTTTTACATTTTTTATTTAACATTAAAGGTGCAGTGCAGTGGTTAGCATTACTGCTTTGCAGTGCTGGTGCCATGGGTTCAATTCAAGGGGGGCTATCTACATGAGGTTCATACTGTATGTTCCCCCAGTGTTTGTGGGGATTTTCTCTAGGTGCTCTAGTTTCCTTCCACAGTACAAAGACATACTGTACTGTAGGAATGACAGATGTATCAGAGCTTATGAATCCTGAGCCCAAAACACCAAGGTTATAACACCAAAATATATTGATGTAACGTTTCTGTTATTGTGATATATTGGTGAGGAAGAAAAGTTGTATATTGTTGGAAAAAAATGCCTTTTCAGGTTTTGATGTTTCACTTAACAGATTTGTTTTTCCCACACATAACATCTCTTTGTATTGTTCAATTGAATATTTTAGTCAAAGAATATTATATTATACTGAGAGATAAAAGTTAATGAAAGTGAGACTTTAGGTGGCAGACTTTTAAGCAAGTCTTTTAACAAAGACATTACAAATCCTCATCCTTAGGACCCACACACCTGCTGGCTTTTGTTTCACGTAAACCTTCAGTTAAATAATTGAGACCTAATAATAGGTTAAATTTAAACTTTTTTGCTTTTTTTTATGATGTTTCTTAAGTAACATAATAGGTCCACCCTCAAGCAGAAAAAAACATGCAACAATTAAATCGTTGGTTCAGTTGAGGATTAATTTAAGTACAGACCTCTGCAGTGAAAATCTGAACTTTTGTGGCTCCACAGAACCAAGATTTGTTAACCTTATTTCATTCCCTTCCCATATAAATTAATATCAGGACAGGACAATACTTCCATCTGACATGAAAATCACGTTAAAAGCCTCAAGTAAATTTAAAAAGAATGGTAATAAAAATGGATTCGGCAGATAGACTAAAACTATTTTATTTTTAGGGCATTTGATGTGTTTTAGAGCAAATGTATGAAGTGTCTAAATGTTACAGCTGTTTGTGAAACTCACAATTGCATCAATGTTTAGGTTTCATGACAGTTGATATAAATCAAAAGTAATCAATATAAGTT